AATAAATGACCTTGGCCCCTCGCGAGTCCTCCATAATAACATGTCAACGCCTTGAGCTTGGAGCCCATCCATTCCTCCTCAATCTCTACGTTCTCCCCTGGTGGCGCTAGTGCAGAGATCTCGCTAACATTGGTGTTTCGTGGTAGGAACATAGCGACATTTCGAGAGATTTTGTGCGAGAGTGCAAAAAGCTCCGCCCCGGGTATAGGCGTGAGGCTTTTTAGTGTATACAGCGCTGACTGAGCTTCCTCGACGTCTGGTTCCGTTCCCGTAGAGTTCGCGGTACCAGATATGTATGATGGGCCTCCCCAGGGTGGACTCAGAAACACAACGTCTATCTGGCCCCGTCTTGACTTGGGAAGAGTGAGAAAGGATTTGGCGAACGATATATAGTCACACAATATGAAGTCAATACGATCGGCAACACCATATATGGCCGCATTATGTTTTGCGATAGCTAGCCTTGTTGGCGAAATGTCCAGCGCAATTACTATAAGCCGGGGCAACGATTAGACTTGAAAGCCAAGCGGGTGTTGTTGTACTCACCTCGTTCACACGTTTGGGCAAAAGCAATTGCGTTTCCACCAACCCCGCAAAATGCGTCGATTACAGTGTCGCAACGACAGCGCTCAGCAATCTGGAGTGCGATTTTCTCGGGAGTTACGCTGTACCAACCTTCCTCGTCAAGAAGACATCCTTCGTCGTAGAGTGAGAAAAACCGGTGGCGTTGATAAAAATCTAGTTGTTATGAGTATGGTTTGTGAAAGGTACGCAAAGTATACAAGACGCACATTTTTTTAGGTGTGCAGGGACATTCTTCTGCGTTTTGTAGTGCAAGCTAGCAAGGTCCAAGTGGGTATCAAGTGTAGTTGTAGGGGCATTTTCCGACCTAGATTGAATGGACGCGGCGTCTAGAGCACCAGACTCAGATATTTTCTGCTTTTTACGGGGAGGTGGAGATGCAGGTTGTTCGACATCGTCTACAGGTTCCTCATGTTCGACTGCCAGTGCTCTCTCAACCTCTTGGGTTTCTTGAGTCACATGAACTCGTTGTACTATCAGGTCATCGATACTAGTAGGCTCGAGTCGATCCGAGTTAGGTTCTATAGCGGCTTTGTTATGTCCAGCCGCGAATCCAAGTTTGACATCAGGTGGCAGCGAAGAGAGTACAGAAGCGAATCCAGTTTTTCGTTTGCGAGCCATTACTGGGGACGGTCAAGTGAATCCAAGAACCTGTGTAAGTAGGCCGACCAGGCAGTTAGGTCGGAGAATTGACGCCGAGCTGAGAGTAATATGGCACGTGACGAGCGCGTACTAAACTCCGAACCACGACGCGACTCTTTGTAGAGTAGACTTATCCAGAGCAACACGCCCTTTCAGCAGCTGACATGGTATGCAAATGTAATCCCTGTTAGCTCGGGTATTGACCCTTCGTTGGTAGTCATCTCCTGTTCGTCGACGATTAACCAAACGAGCACGTTCCCCCGACGTAGGGTCCTCGCCGCCACCACCCACGCCTGACGACGAGATCGGTCTACCGCCTTCTTCGCCGCCGGCTCCGTTCTCGGACACAGACGATGATCTGGGGGGACTCGAAGACTACCTCAACTTGGACGGAGGTGATGTTCCTGTGGAAGAAGAGGAAAATGACGAGGGGGAGGACCTGTTTGGAGAAAACCTGATGGAGTGAGTACAACCACCGTGAACCCTCTCAAAGCGGATCTAACTTCTTATACTAGGGACTATGCAGCAGACACCGCCCTTGACCGATATGACGCGCGCGATATTGACGACGACGAAGAAGCAGGCGAGCTCACTGCTGAGCAGAGAAGGGCTGCCGAACGCGACATGGCTTTGCGTGACAGGCGCGAGGCTCGAAGAGGCCAGGGTGGGCGAGCGGCGCGACGCAGCAATGCGCCTGATTTCTTACGTGACGAGGACGAGGTTGACGACGAGGATATGCTGGACGGAGGGTTACTGAGTGACCTGACTAAACGCCGCACAAGGAGACAATATGACGAGCGCCAGAACGTAGACGACGCGGCTGGAGCAGAGGGGGTAAGCGTTTAACCTGAGAGCACGGCATTATCAACTAAACGCGTACCAGGATGAGGCTTTGCCCATGCAAGAATTATCCCAAATCAAAGCTGGGTCAATCGTGGAATGGCTTGCCACAGACTCGGTCAGGCGATCTGTCTCCAAATTCTTTAAGCTATTCTTACTCGAGATGACCGACGAACACGGCGACAGCGTGTATGGCCAGCGAATCACACAAGCCGGCTCAAGTACGTGACTTGCTATCATACGATTTAAACTCGATTTTAACGGCACATGTAGTGAACTCCGAGTCTCTTGAAGTTTCTTACGTCGACCTCCTCCAGAAAATGCCAACTCTCGCATGGTTCTTGGTCCTTGCCCCTGCTGAGATGCTTGCCATTTTCGACCCCGTCGCTCTCGAGGTCATGACAATCTACTTCCCGGCATACGAGCGCATTCACTCTGAGATACATGTCCGTATCACCGAGCTACCCGCATCCGCAACTCTCCGCGACCTCCGAAACGCTCAGCTGAACGCTCTGGTTCGTGTCAGTGGAGTGGTAACGAGGCGAAGCGGCGTTTTCCCACAACTAAAATATGTAAAGTTTGACTGCAACAAGTGCGGCGGAGTTTTGGGGCCATTTTACCAGGACACGACGAAGGAGGTCAGGGTCAGCTTCTGTCCTAACTGCTCGAGTAGGGGGCCATTTACCGTGAACTCGGAACAAGTGAGCGCCGGTTTTTTGGGTCCAGAATTTTGATGCTAAGAGTTGGGTAGACGGTATATAGGAATTATCAAAAAATGACCCTACAGGAATCGCCTGGTTCGGTTCCCGCTGGACGGCTCCCTCGTCATCGCGAGGTTATCCTCTTGTGGGACCTTATCGACTCTGCCAAGCCAGGAGAAGAGATTGTACGCATACATTGCCGCCCACGGGGCCATACTGACCACTTACATAACACAGGAAGTGACAGGAATATATCGAAACAACTTTGACGCATCCCTCAACGCAAAGAACGGCTTCCCTGTCTTTTCCACCGTGATCGAGGCCAATTACATTAACAAGAAAGAAGATCTCTTCGCGGCTTTCCGTCTTACCGAACAAGACGAGCGCGAAATCCGGGAGGCGTCCCGCCAGCCCGACATTGCAAGGCGGATCGTCAAGTCTATTGCACCCTCTATTTACGGACATGATGATATCAAGACAGCCATAGCTCTCTCGCTGTTCGGTGGTGTCTCAAAAGACATCAAACGCAAGCATCGCATCCGAGGAGATATTAACGTGCTCATGTTGGGAGACCCTGGTACCGCCAAGTCCCAGTTCCTCAAGTACGTCGAAAAGACTGCCCACCGCTGCGTCTTCACGACTGGTCAGGGCGCATCAGCGGTTGGTCTTACGGCGTCGGTGCGCAAAGATCCTGTGACACGCGAATGGACGCTCGAAGGCGGAGCGTTGGTGCTTGCGGACAAGGGCGTGTGCATGATTGACGAATTTGACAAGATGAACGACCACGACCGTACATCCATCCACGAGGCGATGGAGCAACAGACCATATCCATTTCAAAAGCGGGTATTGTCACTACGCTACAAGCACGCTGTGCTATTATTGCAGCCGCGAATCCCATTCGTGGCCGATACAACCCCACAATTCCATTCCAACAGAACGTGGAACTCACCGAGCCAATCTTATCGCGTTTCGATGTTCTGTGCGTTGTGAGGGACAACGTGGATCCGGTTGCGGACGAAAGGTTGGCGCGCTTTGTTATGGGGAGTCACTTCCGGAGTCATCCGAATGGATCGAATGAGCAGGAGGTTGCGTTTGCGACGGGAACAGCGGTTGACCAGGATGTGAGTTGTATCATTCAGCTGCTATTCCGGTATTGACAGGAATGTAGGCAATGCCGCAAGATCTACTTCGCAAATACATTATGTATGCGCGAGAAAAGGTCAGGCCAAAGCTGCATAACATGGACCAAGAGAAGCTCTCGCGTCTGTTCGCCGACCTGCGCCGAGAGTCGCTTGCAACAGGTTCATTCCCGGTTACCGTTCGTCTTTTGGAGAGCATGATCCGCATGGCCGAAGCAAGCGCCAAAATGCACCTGCGTGAATATGTCCGTGCCGACGATATCGACAGGGCAGTGGCCGTTGCCGTAGGGAGCTTCATTAGTGCTCAAAAGACAAGTATTAAGAGGTCGCTAGAGCGGGTCAGTAACAACTTGGCGGTCGTGATGGACAAGCTTATCATGTGCATGCGTTCTTTTTCACAGGGATTCCGCAAGTACTTGACCAATGCACGAGATCATCAAGAACTGCTAGCCTTCTTGCTGGGTCAACTGGTAAAAGATAAGGCTAGGATCCTCCAGTTGCAACATGGCGCGCCTCCGAATGAGGTGGCAGTACCACTTGCGGAGCTTGAAGCTAGGGTGTGTATGCTACCATGGTAGATGTCCCCATTATGTTAACTGGATACTTTACAGGCGAAGGAGCATGACATATTCGACGTCGCCCCGTTCCTGCGTTCGCGGTTGTTTACTGCGAATGGCTACAAACACACGAATGCAAACATTGTCAAGACGTTCAGTGTTTCGAACGAGCTGTAGGGTACATTAATGGGATAGTTGGCTGGGGCATCCAGATGGGATAAGGTGGGCGATCTTGGTTGAAGTGGCCATCTGTTTGTACTGTACAATAGTGAAGATATTTGGGTATACTGTAATGAACGCATTCAAAACGCCAAAATTAGTTGAAGACAATGCAGTTCCAATAGGAGTTGGATCTTCTCATGCCATGATTCTCCTCGGAGGTCCCTCATTTCGTCTCGCAGTTTACCTCAGGGAAACAATAATGAGCTAATGCATCGCATAAAAAAAAATACAAAGGCTAATTCTAGCTCTCCAATCAGGACAAAAAAAGGATACTCAGCATCAATTCTGTAAGCAATGATTAATGCTCTAAAAAGGCAGAGACATACGTGGATCGAACACGTGACCGCTCGATGCTTGCTGACTAAGCAGGTTGCAATCGAGCGCTCAACCACTGAGCTTATGTCTCTTATTTCAAAATGACCAGCAACCATTATGACTGAGGCGCCGTTACCAGGCAGTAACCCTATCAACCAGATTGGCTTCTTCATCAAGGATAACCTAAATTAACACAGCTGACTGGGAAAATATGTGGAATCCCTCGGCAAGGTACCGAAAATGTAACCCTCGGCGCATGTGCCGGCCGTAGCTATGCTTGCATGTGCTTTGTTGCTCAAGGGGTCGTGGATTCATAAACCCCGGGGGAACGTCCAGCTCGTGTTCCTATCTGCATTTCCCCCCTCGTCTGGGCATCCTCTCGTGAGTTATATCCGTAGCGCCAAGTAAATGGATAATAATAGCCATTGCGTCGAATAGCATTCTTTGCGGCTTACCGCTTTTCATTCTTTTCAGTCGGCTTGCTGTGCAGTCGCCCACGTTCACTTTTCTTTCCTTGCAACTGGATTGCTATTTTTGACGACCAAGTGCCACTCGACAAACTCTCGGATTTCCACTCGTTGCTTCAGCATTATGCGTATTTCAGTCTTTTCGTATTTTGTGCTCTCGCTGGCCAGCGTTTCAGTCTCCGCCACTCGCTCTCCTCCTACCACTCAGGTAAGTACGGATCGTCTTGAACAATCACATGCACGTCCTCATATTTCAATATATCGTAGCCTACCGCCGCCACGTCCACAACCCTCTCTACCGTCACCGAGACCGTCAATCTTACCTCGACGGTAGTAGTCTCAGCGTCCGGTACGCCAATCAGCTCTGCCCCATTGAATGCCACGACTTCCCTCGCGAGCCTCTCTGCCAATGCAACTTCAACTGCAGTCGCCCCGGCTAGCAACTCGGCGGACGCCTTTTCGTCAGCTACGGCATGTGGTACCGCCGGAGCGTCTGTTATTACTTCAGTGGTCACGCAAGTTAGCACGAAGACGGTCGACCACTTTATCACTGTCACTGTGGGAGGATCCAGCCCAACCCAGACTTCAGGTTCCTCAGGATCTGGTTCGGGGTCAAAGGGACAGAGCGGCAACCTTGGCGAGCAGTCTTCGCAGAGTGTGTCAAAGGTTATTGAGGCTCCGGCTACGACTGTTGAGAAGGTATGTGATTTCAGACAGCATAATTTCCTGAACGGCCAAGCTCATCAATGTTTAGCCTTCCGCTGTTGTGACTACGATGGCCACAGTCAAGCCAGTGACAACTGTGGTCGTTGAACAGACCACCACGGTATTCGTAACCTCATTCGTCACCACTACTGTTGAAGTCCAAGGGGCCTCAACTCGCACGCATACGGCTATGGTGACGAGCACTGTGACAAGCACCGGAATGGCGACGCATACACGCACCAAGACTTCCACCATGTTGATCACGCTGACCAAAACCAATGTGAGTTCGTTCACTGACGTATGTCCGCCGTGCTTAACGGGGGTTTTAGACCGCGACTGCGGCTAGCATTCTCACCTCTGCGGCCGCTTCTGCGTCAACCTCTGTGGCAACTTCTGCGGCGAGTTCTGCAGCAACTGCGAAAGACATCAAGACCGGCAAGAACACCAAGACGAAGACCAACACCAACACAGCCGCTGCATTGTCCTCGTCCTCGACTACGCCGTGCCCCACCGACCCTGTTACGCTCACCGTGACTCGTTCTGCATCGCAAGCTAGTGTCACGACCAGCAAGTTTGGTATCAAAGACGCAAACAGCTCGTCTGCTGGTTCTTCCGCCGCGACTAGGTCCACCCGTGTTCGATTCACCACCAAGACCAGAGGAACAACCTCGGTCGTGGCAGCTACATCAGTCTCTTTGGCTAGCACGTCGGTTAAGGTGACCTCAACGCAACGCTCTGCTGCTACGCGGTCGACTGTTGCGGCCCAATCCTCAGTTATCACCCAGTCAGCCGCCTCCACCCAGTCAACCGCTACCACCGAGCCCGCTGCTGCTACCGAGTCTTCTGCTGCCACCGAATCAACAGGGGTCTCCACCTCCTCGACACGCCGCGGTGGAAACACGAGGACTAGGCCATCGGCCGCTGTAACTACGGCCCAGACTTCAGTTCGCGGGACCACGACGGCTACCAGTGTAGCGATCACGTCTAAAAGCTCAGCAGAGACCTCCGTTCGAGGCGTGACGACTTCAGCCAGCGCGACAGCAACTGCCTCGGCACAAATTAGGACTTCTGTCCGATCGAATACCGCGTCCAGGTTTTCGACCTCGATCATTCGGTCCTCTGCTTCTACTGCTGCGGCCTCTACCTCTACCACCGTAATTCGGGCCAACACCAAGACGGCTACCTCAAGTGCTGCTGCCGCGACGAACTCTGCGAGTGCGGGCTCTTCTGACCCCCAGGAGTCGCTTGAGCTCGACCCTAAGGCTATCATGGCTGGTTTGGCCAACGACGGGCAGTCTACTCCCGAGCCCGGCCAAGTTGCTTCTCTCACATCGCGCAACAATTTGTAAGTCTCAAGCGTGTCTGAAACATATTAGTTTACTTACCTGTCTGTAGCATCAACTTTTGCCTGACACAGAAGGTGCCCCTTACGAACGGACAACAGATCAAGACCGGATCCTGCAATGGCGTGCCAATGGGACGAATTCTGGCCGTGGACAAGATGCCGTCTTCCAAGTTCGTCTTCCCCAAGAACGGCCAGACAATCAAGGCCAACACTGCGTTCACCATCCAAATGGGGATCAAGAACCTCCAAACTGGTAACTTTGTCAACCCCGCGAGCAACTACTACTCTGCGCCAGCTCAGACCACGGCGGACGGCACGCTCATCGGCCACTCTCACGTAGTAATCCAGAAGTTGACTTCCAAGTCGCAGACAACGGTACTTGACCCGACGTGAGTACATGCTCTCTGGAAGTTGCATCGAGAGCTGAAACTGAATTGGAATCCAGGGTGTTTGCGTTCTTCAAGGGAATGAACCAAGCTGCTGTGGGTGGAATCTTGACGGCAGAGGTTACGGCCGGGTTGCCGGCTGGAGAGTACCGCATGGCCAGCATTAATTCCGCGGCGAACCATCAGCCTGCCCTGTCGGCTGTTGCTCAGCGTGGTAGCAACGACGATATTTCATACGTGAGTCCTTTCATTATCGGTAGCATGTGATTTACCTAATATATCATTGGTTGGTACAGTTCACTGTCGGGTGATTTTTGTGTGCATTTTTGCATACTTTTCTGGTGGTCGGCGTTGAACGCGGTTCACTTTTTTGTTCATTTGTGTCTTTATTTGATACCCACGTGAATGCAGTAAACAATCCCAGAATTGAAACTAAACACTAGTCAACACATGACATCGTTAGCTCCTATCTTTTGATCCCACCTACGACAACCTGCTTACCCTGGCGGATAATGCACGCGAGTCTGTCTCGAATTTGACTAGCAAACTTATTACAGGTAAGTTAAGGAATGTATGCGCTGTAAACGCGCACCGAACACTGAAGGCCCCAAAAATCAACAAAATAAAAAAGCTGAAAACAAAATAGCAAATGCCAGACTAGCTCAAGGCTTTTCGAATGTCTTTACGTTCTCTAAACAACGTGGCCACCTCGCCCATGGTAGTAGGAAGCGGAACTGTCATCGTGGCGACGGGAACACTCCCCTCCATAGGCTCATCCGGTGTGCCCTCGCCGTCAAGTACCATCTCCACCGAGACGTAATATCCCAGTCCGAAACCAACCTCCTCGTCTCCAACGCCGCGACCTCCTCCAGGAGACATCAGCTCCGCCATCCGCTCCTCGACAGCTACTCGCAGAACACCACCCCCGCCTCGTCGCGCCACAGTTACTCCCGCATTCCGCGCACAATATGCGACCATCTGCGCCCATGTCGCTGCTGCAAATGACGCGCGGGCGCCTATGCTTAACTGAATGAGCGCAGGCAGTGAACGTAAGGCGCCGCGGTGTGGAGGCGACGTGATACGTACGCGTACGAGGGGAAGTGCAAGCTGCGTTGTGCTAGATGCGGCAGAACGAGGTGTGTGGGGTAATGGTGGTGCCAACGACATTGGTGAGTTTTGTGAGCGGGGTATAGGTGATGTTTGGGGCGAACCCCTCATTTGAGAAAGGGGCGAATCTTGTCGGGAGGATTTAGGCGAAGCCTGCGCCTTAGTCACGTTAAGTGGGGCGACTCGGCTGATGGGCGCATGCGGTGCGGACGCGCTTGGTGGAGGAAGTTGAGGTGGTAGATCCCGACGCTGGGTTTTCCTTGATGGTAAATCAGGAACGGTGCCGAAATCTGAAGGCGGGGAATGGGTAGTGAAGGGAGATGGAGAACGCGATGAGTCGACAAGCAGCCCCAGCGCGTCGTTTGAAGGTGCGCGTCGTGTGGTAATATAATCTGAGCGAGGAGCAGCAGATCGAGTGGCATACTGGTCGAGCGCGGCTGGCGGTGGGTTGACAATGCTGGCAATCAGGGCCTCGTGCCGTGCTTGCTCGAGGCGAGCTGTTTCATCTGCCGCGTATCGTCTAGATTGTTGTTGGGCGGCGGGTGGTGTAGGCAAGGTTGCAGTGCGACTAGGTTGGGGAAGAGGTCGTGGCTGGGGGAGAGCATTGGTATTTGGTGCGTGCGACTGTGCAGTTGCTGGTTTGGTTTGTTGTGCCGGTTTGCTTGGTTTGACGCTCGTAGATGACTCAAGACCCAAGGCTTGCAGGTACGCTACCGCCCCATCATCGCTGTCTTCTTCCTCCACCGGTTCCGGACTTGGCTCCCGTGTTCTGCTTGGTGCGGTTCTCCCCATTCCCCGTTTGACATCGTGGGCATAGATGTCGAAATCCTCATCTGCGTACGCGTCGGAAGGATACACAGAAGTCGGGGCGCCTCGTTTTACGGGAAGTGTTTCTGCGCGCACAGCCGCACGCGGCACTGGTTGATGTCCCAGGCGCGAGCCCGACCCTGCCCGAGCAACTTCCCCTTGAACGAGCTTATCGAACCGTGGATCATCCGAAGCATAAGAGACGCCTGAATAGCTGGGCGGTTCAGCAGGAGGATGCCGAGAAGCTGGTTGGCGCTGCTGAGAATCCTGAGGC